GTGCTCAAGCTGTAACGAACCTGAACATATCAACCATTTTCTTATCACATGTCACCGTTTCACAAATCAAAGAAAAAATTGCTTCGAAATTTTATTTAAAAAACTGGGAATATCACTTAATGCTCCCAATATTTTGTCTTTTGGGGCCGCTTCAATGGGACACGGCGACAGGAACATCTGCGGGGCTCTCTGCGAATTCCTATATAACAGAAGAAGATTACCTTGCTGAGCCAGTTATCAGCTCTCGAATTTTACTGGCCACCCTACCACTTATTATTTAGCTGATACACTGCAATGATTCAACTTTCAGAAGAATTTCATATAACGATTACACCTCAGATATTCAACAAATTCTATTATTTCTCTCCTCTCCCCCCCCATTTTTCTTTTTCTTTCTTTTTTTTACATTGCGCCAAAATAATTTCACAGTCAAAACACAGTATTCATATTCCCCTAGTCTAGAAAACCTAAAGGTATTGACTTGCATTAATCAACGGCTTCTTGGCCAATCCCCCTTAGTGGGTGAGAGCCACAAAAGAAAGGAACAAGCAAGCCAGCAAGCAAACGGACGGCAGAGCGCTTCTAAGCTCACACTTAATAGAAGTGTGTTAGCCAAAAGCCTTCAATACGGAGTTGAGTGTGATCGTGGTGACTGGAATGCCATCGTGTAATAATTTGGTGCCGAAGAACCTGGATTGAAAACCAGTGACCTACGGACGGCTACTAGTCAACTGCACCGGCTTGGATCGACTGAAGTCGAAACGGACCTCGTGGCGAGCACAAAGCACGAAGATTTAAAGCAATGCAAGTGCTCTCCTCGCTAACGACTCTGCGACTTAACAGCTCTATGCCGTGTATGTCAGGCTTAAAACTAACAACGACGAGCTTCATAATGTGAATGCTAATTTCGAGCACCAAATTCCTGACCAAGAGTTAGATGCCAAATATAGCACTGCCCTGGAATATAAAGACAATGCTACTCACATTCTAGCGGAGCTTAGTATCAGGAAAGATCGCATGCTACGGTCGTCGATTACAGCCGAAAGAACGGTCACTCAGTCACAGCACCATTAGACGGAACTCAAGTTAGACTGCCTAAACTGACAATAGCGCTATTTTCTGGGAAACAGCGCAAGTGGACCAAATTTCGGAAACAACTTGATGAAAATGTTCACAAGAATATCCGCATAATGGCCACAGAGAAATTCTATTGCCTGCGACTTTATTTGAAACGAGAAGCTGCATCGATAGTAGCGGGCCTTCCGACGACTGAGAGCTGTACGACGATCCCATCACCGTGCTACAGAGGTACTTTGGTGACAAGACTCGCCTAGATCAAGGCTATTTCGCGAAGCTATAACATGTTGAGCCCTGTTTGTTCGTCAAATAACACCACAGCCCTGCGCAACTTGTACGACCAAGTTCTTGACAATATCCGAGGTCTAGAGACTCTGTGCGGGCAAAAGTTATCCCTTATTCTCGTATGTTCTTTGTGAAATTTTCTGCATGCTTTTTCGCGGGACATCGTTGTGCAGTACTATCGATCACGTGCCGTCCACGCAGCACGTGACTCTAGAGGTGATGGTAGACCCATGGGACTGGATGGTGATTCCACACAGCTACGAATCTCGTGATTCGGTAGAGCATGAAGGTCACTTCGCTCGATGCCGCGGCCGCTTTTACGAAATGAGCGCGCTGCTCACACACGATGAAGTAAAAATTGTGACATTTGTGTCGCACTCGTCTTGCGTTTGTTTCGTGCCTCCTTTTTTTCTGTTTTAGCAGCGTGGTTTAAGTGTCGAGTGGTGAGAGGAGTTAGTCCGCGCCCTTCCAGAGTGTGATCATTTCGTGCACGCTTTCTGCTTGAGCTGCGCGCCCGAAGTGTCGAGCTCCTTGCCTTTTTTCGCGTGACATTACAATTTCCTTGCTGTAGTGTTCGTTAGTTCACCCTTGGGGCGAAACAATGAACAAGAACCGCTCGCATTTGTGAAGACACATGCTACTTTCGTGGTATACTAATTCCTGGGCATAGGAATTAGTAACAATTTTATTTATTCATTCTTTTACTTACTTATAGCGATAGTGGTTACGGACACTGACGACGGCAGCCGCAGTGGCGGACAACTTGTGGTCTCACAACAACGTTCACTTCTTTTGTTTCTTTACGTCTGTGTGGCAATAGGTGCAATACAATCAGGAATCTCCACAAGCTAACCCCATCCATTGCGCGAAGTGTCCACGGCTTCAAAAGGACGGCAATCTATTTAGCCAGACGCAGATGGCAGCTCTGGTTGTCACCATCGTGTTGCCGTTGTCCTCGCATTGTCTACGTGATCCTGAGGCACATCCTTTGCAGCTTCTCTTTTCATCGACGAAATGTACGCGGGGGTTTCCTGTGGTTGTCTATTTTGCGACATAACTAGCCATACAGAATTCTGTCATCCACCAAGCTTGTGATGCAGCAGTCAGTCTAAACCTGTCAGCTCCAACGTGGGGGAGCCCTAAACGCGTTCGCACACTTCTAGCAGGATAGCAATAAGGTTATTGCACTGCGAAGCAGGATTTCGTGCCTTTGCTATGTCACACGTCCATCGTAGCAGTCATTTGGCACCATGAGTGTGTGGATGCTAGGACCGCTTGTGTATTTGGAAAAAGTGTCTAACAATTAAAAACACACGACGCCCTACTATGAGAGGACATACAACCATTCCAGTTGCCATCAAGTAAGGCCAAGCACGGCAAAGCACTTGATTGGTCCTCAGGACTCTCCGGGTCCGCGCTACGGGAAACAATAATGGCGCTCCTATTCGCTTCATTTTATACTCTACACATACTTGAGTTTCTCGCTACAAAGCAAACTATGTTAAGTAATGCTGAGCAAGATAGCTGGTCAATTAGTGCAGTATTATTGAATGAATTAGCATTTTTTTTTCCTTTATTGAACCGTTACGTTTTCTTTTTCTTTGCGGAAGAATGAGGTAGCTGTGGAGTATGTGAAATATTTGAAGTTACAGCGCTTTATTGCTACATCTTGCACAGTTATTTGAAGTATACATCCTCCTTTTCTTTTATTTTTTTAGGAGGGGGGTGGGGGGGTTGTGCTGCAGATTATATTCCTTTCCTCTCTGACTCAAGCTTTCAAATCTGATAAAGAACGAAATTTTTGGCGAATAACATCCAGGTCACGTCACAATGTTTTTTTGAAAACATCCTTTACCAGTAGCACGATAATACGTAAGTTGCAGCAACACCAGCTCCACTAGCCTGAAACCAGGAGTGAGGCGAAGTATGATGTGCGCACCAATGCTTCTCACATTAAAATCTTTACTCTTCACTGCTTCACTCGCCACCGGTCTGCTAAGCAGCTCCTAAGCGCCATCACTTTGCAGATATGTTTCAAGAAGCGGTGTTACAAATAGATTACTTTACCATAAAGATGGATGTTTGTGTCTCTGACTTTGGATAAGAAACACCGAGCGCCTCCTAAAGCTTTATCTGGGATTCTGACCCCGTTGCTTAGCCAAATAATGTTTTAGGCAGCAACTACGAACCATTGTCTCATAATGCGCATAAGAGAGAGCGGTGGCGAGTAGTCAGATTTACTCAATTTTATGAGCATGCTCGTTTAGATGAATCGGGACGATGGCATGACAAGCACGAAATCCGAAACCATGGTGACGACATGACACCCCGACAAGTCGAAACCCTATGGGGCTACGCACCAAAGGGTTTTGGTTTGTCGGTGAAGCACCATTAGCGAGTCACTATGGTGCTTCAAAAATTCAACACGAAAGTTACGTGTGCAAACACAGACTAGTTGAGTTGATTGGAAATTGATGAAAAGGAAAAAAGCTTGCAAAATGTCATCAGTAATTGGACCCTATAAACCGGTTGACGTGCATGCGCCCACGTTAAACAGCTGTGGCACATTTCCTTCCCGACGGCCAATGACTGAAAAATTTTGTGGTTGTTAACGTAGTAACACAGATCTGTGAACATCATATGGTAAACACCGTGACATTGGCATCATCAAGCACATAATGAGCACTCGTTCACAATATACTCTCTTTCAGTGTAAAGTTATTTGAGTAGAGAAACAAGAACATGTACACTTCCCTGTCAAAAAGTGGCCTACGCATGTTCTAAAGCGTATGCCACACAGCCCTTTATACACGTGGCAGACTTGGTAGCGTATCAGCTGTGAACGAGGGAAGGCGTTGCGCTTCCCGCTGGTGTGTCTTCATTTCCACCAAAGCACTTACTGTATGACATTCACCAGTCGATGTCATTTTTTGTGTGCTGCTTATTGCAGAAATTTTATTATTCGGTACCACATCACTTGAAGCAGTCTTATATAGGCGGCAGAGAAATGCTGCTGGTGCATGCGAAAACGCCACTGAATTGGCGACAAGGCATAAAATTCAAAGAACGCACTGCGCCGTCACCGAACAGAATTCACAGTGCACTGCATCAACCGTAGAAATAATAATGCACCAAAACCGTCCGTAGTGCTAAAAGCGGTGAAGCGCTCGCTGTCAGCGCTCGTTAGCGCCATGCTGCATTACTCACGTCACGGCTCCGACACTGTGGTACCTTGATACCCCCCCCCCCCCCCAGCTGCCAAACAATACCACTGTGAGAGGAAGATGGTGTAAGAGACGTAAGGAACGCTTGTAAACACACATACTTGAGTGTCGGTTGTGCATAGGGAAACGCATGCAGCACCTATTTGTCACAGGTCTAGATGTCGTTGGTCAGCCTGATCGCTGACATTTTTCGTCTCGTTTTTCTTATAATCTGTTCATGCACACTTGATAAACGTCACTTCCGGAGCGGACTCTACTTATGGACTACACTGATATCTCTTCCATCACTTCTTTGACGAAAATTATGCCAGTGAAGTCCCGCTGAAGCCCGGCACAAGAACATTTTCATTTTTATCGTTTTCGATGTAGAAACCTTGAGAATACTCCTATAGAAAGAGTACTTGCTATACAATAGAGTTGAAGAAAATGATTTTCTTTATTTTTCCAAGACCACACTGAAGCTACCAGTAAGCGTAAAACTAGCCAATGACTGAAGACTTTACGACAAAAAACACCGAGAGAGAGAAAGAAATGAAAGGCTTCGAGGTTAATCAGGTTAAATCTGTTTCGCTACTCTACATGGGGAAGGGGTAAAGAAGAAGGAAAGAATAGAGAAAAAAATGAAGGTAAATTCATACGCTAGCACGCTTAGCAGCGTGTACCACGCAAGCCACTAATAAAGTGCAGAGGCGATACTAAAGATTGGAGATCAGAGGACCGCAGGATTCCTCATCGTATGCCGGATTCTGCATGTCACAGTTGTCCTCATAATAGTCGAGGCAATGTTGAGGTACGGCCTTCAAGTCTTTCGGGTTCATCCACAGGATGCACTCTGCGAAAATGGCGAAGAATAAGTGTCAGTGCACCTCTGTATTTCGAATTGAGAAATACCTGAATTTTTCCGGTTGCTGCCAAGTGTTCAAAACAATTTATTTATTTATTTATTATTTATTTATTTATTTATTTATTTATTTATTAGCGCAACCTACATCGCCTAAGTAGGCATTTTCGTAAGGTAGTGACGAAAAAAAGCAGTATTACAGTCAAAGCAAGGACATGTTGGCGCCGTCGAAAATGGCATACGTTTTCGTAGCAGCTCCTGCACGTTCACAAAACGCACACATCTTGTAGTGACGAATAAAAAGCATTGGATAGAATATCAACAATTCATGCATCCAAATCATTGCATTCGCGAATGGCAAAAGGGAAAACAAAATTTGCAAAGCCACCAGTACGACAGCTTCAATGCAGTGACCACTTTCTGATGTCGGGCAGTAGTTTTTACGTTCTAAAATTATTGAAGGGATAACGTTTTTCTGATAAGCCGAAAAATCTACGTATCTACACAGTGAATCATAATGAGTGGGTGAAGCTACGAGTACCATATTAGTGAGTAACCCCTAGTTACCCGAACGTTCCCCATACAACGTATATTGAGAGTCCTAAAATGTCTATTGAAATGTACATTTATTTCGCCTGCACTCGTGTTGGGCAATTCAAGGAATAGTTAGAAATGTGCTGTAGTGAAGGAAATGCTTCGTAAGGGCATAAAAATCTGCCATCCTACCGGTTCTAACTAACAGGAGTAATTTCTTCGGGCAGTTAGTGCTCGACGTGTTTCTTTGGGTTACAAATGTTCTTAAGGATTCCCAATATCTAGGCACATTTATTTGACATCAACTTGACGATACTCTTCTAGATAGGTTATTTACGCCGGTAACAGTGATCTCCGGCCTTATAACTAGCCTATGTAGTAGTAGTAGTAGTAGTAGTAGGATTTTTATTTACAGTAAGCCGGATACAGAGCTCACTGCAGGGGCAAAGGGCTAAAGGCGAACAGCCTGACAAAGGCCCTTGTCCCTCCGCAGTTCGTGACAGTGCAAAGCTTAAACAATATATATATTCAATACATTGATTTCGAGCACCAAATTCCTGACCAAGAGTTAGAGGCCAAATATAGCAGTGCCCTGGAATATAAAGACAATGCTACTCACATTCTAGCAGAGCTCAGTATCAGGAAATATCGCATGCTACGGTCGTCGATTACAGCCGAAAGAACGGTCACTCAAACAGTCACAGCACCATTAGACGCAACTCAAGTTAGACTGCCTAAACTGACAATAGTGCTATTTTCTGGGAAACAGCGCAAGTGGACCAAATTGTGGAAACAACTTGATGAAAATGTTCACAAGAACATCCGCATAATGGCCACAGAGAAATTCTATTGCCTGCGACTTTATTTGAAACGAGAAGCTGCATCGATAGTAGCGGGCCTTCCGACGACTGAGAGCTGTACAACGATCCCATCACTGTGCTACAGAGGTACTTTGGTGACAAGACTCGCCTAGATCAAGGCTATTTCGCGAAGCTATAACGTGTTGAGCCCTGTTTGTTCGTCAAATAACACCACAGCCCTGCGCAACTTGTACGACCAAGTTCTTGACAATATCCGAAGTCTAGAGACTCTGGGCGGGCAAAAGTTATCTCTTATTCTCGTATGTTCTTTGTGACATTTTGCTGCATGCTCTTTCGTGGGACATAGTTGTGCAGTACTATCGATCACGTTCCGTCCACGCAGCACGTGACTCTAGAGGTGATGGTAGACCCAAGGGACTGGATGGTGATTCCACACAGCTACTAATCTCGTGATTCGGTAGAGCATGAAGGTCACTTCGCTCGATGCCGCGGCTGCTTTTACGGAATGAGCGCGCTTCTCACACACAGTGAAGTAAGAATTGTGACAGTTGTGTCGCACTCGTCCTGCGTTCGTTTCGTGCCTGTTTGTTTTTTGTTTGAACATCGTACTTTAAGTGTCGAGTGGTGAGAGGGCTTAGTCCGTGCTATTACAGCGTGTGATCATTTCGTGCGCGCTTTCTGCTTGAGCTGCGCGCTCGAAGTTTTGAGCTCCTTGCCTTTTTTCGCGTGACATTAGAATTTTCTTGCTGTAGTGTTCGTTAGTTCACCCTTGTGGCGAAACAATGAACAAGAACCGCTCGCATTTGTGAAGACGCATGTTACTTTCGTGTTATACTAATTCCTGGACATAGGAATTATAACAATTTTATTTATTCATTATTTTGCTTACTTGTAGCGATAGTGGTTACGGACACTGACGATGGCAGCCGCAGTGGCGGACAACTTGTGGTCTCACAACAACTTTCATTTCTTTTGTTTCTTTACGTCTGTGTGGCAATAGGTGCAATACAATCAGGAATCTCCACAAGCTAACCCTATCCATTGCGCGAAGTGTCCACGGCTTCAAAAGGACGGCAATCTATTTAGCCAGACGCAGATGGCAGCTCTGGTTGTCACCTTCGTGTTGCCGTTGTCCTCGCATTGTCTACGTGATCCAGAGGCACATCCTTTACAGCTTCTCTTTTCATCCACAAAATGTACGCGGGGGTTTCCTGTGGTTGTCTATTTTGCGAAATAACTAGCCATACAGAATTCTGTCATCTACCAAGCTTGTGATGCAGCACTCAGTCTAAACCTGTCAGCTCTAACGTGAGGGAGCCCTAAACGCGTTCACACACCTCTAGCAGGATAGCAATAAGGTTATTGCACTGCGAAGCAGGATTTCGTGCCTTTGCTATGTCACACGTCCGTCGTAGCAGTTATTTGGCACCATGAGTGTGTGGATGCTAGGACCACTTGTGTATTTGGAAAAAGTGTCTAACAATTAAAAACACACGACGCCCTACTATGAGAAGACATACAGCCATTCCAGCTGCCATCAAGTAAGGCCAAGCACGGCAAAGCACTTGATTGGTCCTCAGGACCTTCCGGGTCCGCGCTACGGGAAACAATAATGGCGCTCCTATTCGCTTCATTTTATACTCTACACATACTTGAGTTTCTCGCTACAAAGCAAACTATGTTAAGTAATGCAGAGCAAGATAGCTGATCAATTAGTGCAATATTATTGAATAAATTAGCACTTTTTCCTTTAGTGAACCGTTACGTTTTCTTTTTATGTGCGGAAAAATGAGGTAGCTGTGGAGTATGTGAAATTTTTGAAGTTACAGTGCTTTATTGCGACATCTTGCACAGTTATTCCAAGTAGACATCCTCCTTTTTCTCCTGTTTTCGTAGGGGGGATGGGGGGGGGGGGGTTGGGCTATAGGTCGCTCGCTGTCAGCGCTCGTTAGCGCCATGCTGCATTACTCACGTCACGGCTCCGACACTGTGGTACCTTGATACCCCCCCCCCCCCCCCAGCTGCCAAACAATACCACTGTGAGAGGAAGATGGTGTAAGAGACGTAAGGAACGCTTGTAAACACACATACTTGAGTGTCGGTTGTGCATAGGGAAACGCATGCAGCACCTATTTGTCACAGGTCTAGATGTCGTTGGTCAGCCTGATCGCTGACATTTTTCGTCTCGTTTTTCTTATAATCTGTTCATGCACACTTGATAAACGTCACTTCCGGAGCGGACTCTACTTATGGACTACACTGATATCTCTTCCATCACTTCTTTGACGAAAATTATGCCAGTGAAGTCCCGCTGAAGCCCGGCACAAGAACATTTTCATGTTGAATAAACGATTTTGAACTTTGCGTCGATTGATACTTCGAGCTTCGTTTATGATTTAAAAGGGGTTGTTTTCTTTTTCGAATACGAACTCTGAATTCCTGTGAAAAATGCCTACCAAGCCCTTGCAGGATCTTACCTACATTTGTTATGACGTTTTAGAATTATTACACTAAGCCAAGGAGTTTAGGGCTCATGTGTGTAGACTTAGCATATATGGCTTGTCCTGCAAGAAAGCTGGATGGCTTTTCAGTAAAACATTCTCATCTGTAAAAATATACATTTCCAATCTCGAAACTTCTAACTCACTCCACCGAGTCATTCTGTCTGAAAAGTTTGCATCGTATCACCAAATTTATCTGTATTACCAGGGGAGCTTGTAAAACGCTACCAAACAAAATATAAAAGCTGCGCTTTGCACAGAGTAAAAATTGAACAAGGTAATTGAGCGCATTTCAATGAGAAAGATGTCCAGCTATGATACTATCCAGCAATTAGATCTCATCTAAATCATTGAGAACTTTTTGCTAGTTTTCTTGGTATAGATTGCATGAATGAGTGGTCCGAAATGTGCACGCTATAGTGGGACTACATCTAAAGCCTCTGTGTAATATCACCCGGGATGAGGATGGCACACTCGATCCTAAGGCAAGGTGCCATAAGTAAAACTAATAATAATATTAATAAAGCCACCACCCAAGTGACTGCTTAATAGTCTCATTTTTATTGTTTTGGATCTAGAAACCCTGAGAATACTTGTATAGGGAGAGTAGTTGCTATACAATGACAATGAAGAAAATTATTTTCTTTATTTTTCCAACACCACACTAGAACTACCAGTAAGAGTGAAACTCGCCAATGACTGAAGACTTCACTACAAAAAACACCAAGAGAAAGAGAGAAACGAAAGGCTGCGAGGTTAACCAGGTTGAATTTGGTTCGCTACTCTACATGAAGAAGGGGTAAAGGAGAAGGAAATAATAGAGAAGGAAATAGAAGTAAAGTAATATGCTAGCACGCTTAACAGCGTGTACCGCACATGCCGAGTGCATAAAGCACTAATTAAAGAGCCGAGGCGACGCTAAAGATTGGAGATCAGAGGACCGCAGGATTCCTCATCGTATGACGGATTCTTCATGTCGCAGTTATCCTCATAATGGTCGAGGCAATGTTGAGGTACGTCCTTCACGTCTTTTGGGTTCATCCACAGGATGCACTCTGCGAAAATGGCGAAGTGTCAGTGCACCTCTGTATTTCGAATTGAGAAATACCTGAATTTTTCCGGTTGCTGCCAAGTGTTCAAAACAATTTATTTATTTATTTATTTATTTATTTATTTATTTATTTATTTATTTATTTATTTATTATTTATTTATTTATTTATTTATTTATTTATTTATTTATTTATTAGCGCAACCTACATCGCCTAAGTGGGCATTTTCGTAAGGTAGTGACGAAACAAAGCAGTATTACAGTCAAAGCAAGGACATGTTGGCGCCGTCGAAAATGGCATACGTTTGCGTAGCAGCTCCTGCACGTTCACAAAACGCACACATCTTGTAGTGACGAATAAAAAGCATTGGATAGAATATCAACAACGCATGCATCCAAGTCATTGCATTCGCGAATGGCAAAAGAAAAAAAAAGAACTTGCAAAGGCACCAGTACGACAGCTTCAGTGTAGTGACCACTTTCTGATGTCGGACAGTAGTTTTTACGTTCTAAAATTATTGGAGGGATAACGTTTTTCTGATAAGCCGAAAAATCTACGCATCTACACAGTAAATCATAATAAGTGGGTGAAGCTACGAGTACCATATTAGTGAGTAACCTCTACGTTACCCGAACGTACCCCATACAACGTATATTGAGTGTCCTAAAATGTCTATTGAAATGTACATTTATTTCGCCTTCACTCAGTGTTGGGCATTCAAGGAATAGTTAGAAATGTTCTGTAGTGAAGGAAATGCTTCGTAAGTGTATAAAAATCCGCCATCCTACCGGTGCTAACTAACAGGAGCAATTTGTTCGGGCACTTAGTGTTCGACGTGCTTCTTCGGGTTACAAATTTTCTTAAGGAGTCTCAATATCTAGGCACATTTATTTGACATCAACTTAACAATACTCTTCTCGATAGGTTACTTACGCCGGTAACAGTGATCTCTGGCCTTATGATTAGCCCATGTTTACGTTAAAGTCTGTTGCAAAACCTTGTTTCATGTCTCACATATGTTCGACTAAAACAATGGTTCTGTATCATGACCACAACGGAAGACAATGCTTGTTACTAAAGAGCTCCACCCCTAAATCGAAATCATGTTAGTATAGCGCGCATGCGAAGAGAGCTCAGATATTCCACCAAGATCAGTTCTACGTATGGTGCCTCGGTGTCTTAATAATTTTCACTTTAGTTATTACTTCGTTATATCTGCTCTTGATCACGTTAGGTGCCGTAGCTCGTTCCCCTCTTTTTAAATTTATCTATCGTGATGTTTTGAATGATGTAAGACGAATTCGTCAGGAATCCCTTTTAGTGCACTAAAAGCTTTCTTTTTTTCTTGTGAACTTGTTATAAAGTACAAAACGCTCTTTAAAGACAACAGATGGCGCCTATTCTCATGTTGTCGACTTCCGACCGAAAATGCACAATTACAGTTTCGCCAGAGTGACGAAGGAAAGACAACTAACATTCAGGCAACTCCTGACAAAGAACATGGCACTCTATTTGCAAGAAGTTTCATCTTCGGGTGATGGCCTTATGTAACGCATAAAATTACAAAAATTGCTGCTCCACCTACCAATATGTTTCATGTAATCTAAAAAAACTCTTAAGAGGTGAAATTCCAGCGCTTGAACGAGGAGAAAACCATTTTTATGTTGTCTATTTACGCATTGTTTCCGTTGCCTTACGCTATATTAGTTGGCGATATTTGGATGTTCTCTGCTGTATATTCAAAGGTTTCCCACATCGTTTACGTTATTCAGTAAGCACGCGGTTTGGGCCAATCATCAACAGCAAGACTAAAGCGATGGATATGGCCATCACGTGATCGCGGCGCTCGCTCCAGTTGTCCACACTGTAACAGTATTGCGGTACTATAGAGTGCAGCTATGTGTCCTAAAGACATGAAATCAACGTACCTCACTCTCACAAGACACCATCAGACGGAATAATTCTTGTCCACGTATCTATGCGTCGATGGCACACATCTATTCGATGGATCTGCATGGCTATCCATATGAGCAGGATCAATCGCCGTTTGCATGTTCATATGGTTGCGTATAATATCAGCCTCACACCGTTTAAGCACGACAAAACAAATTTGTTTCTAGTGCACCGGCAAGCCATCGGGTAATTATTGCCCCACATATTGATTTTGTCATGGTACCAAGGACACAACCAGACGTTCTACTTCTTCCAATGTGATGATGGTGGCATCGTGTCGGTGCGTGCATCCTTACTAACACAGATACACAACTCAGTGCCACGTTGCAGAATTTCGCCGCTGTAACATCACAGGAATTCGCCGTTCAAGATGGCTTGTAAAGATATTTTGAGAACGCTAGCAAGTAGATCTCGTTCAATTTTGGCACTTTACCTTGAACATTTTTGTATGGGATTTCCAAGACAGTGCAATGTTCGTTGTCAGAGTAGATGAAATTGGCAATTTGCTCACTTCCGTCACCTGAAAAACAGGCCAATGAAGAGGCATCATTTATGAACGAAGAGCAGACAACGATAAGTCACTCATTACATGGCGACCTGGTGAGAACTTGTGTACCAGACGTGCCGTCATTCAGGCTTTCCTTTGCACCGAGTAAACTATCCAACAGGAAGAAGTTAAAAACCAAATGAACTCCCAAGAAGAACAGTATTTTATTTAAACCCTTTATCTTTTTTGTTGAAGTACGTGCAATGCCATGCCCTGCTCGACATAGTGGTTTAATGGTTATTGAAGTCTACTGCTGACTCGAAGGTCGCGTGATCGAATCCCGTCCCTCGGTGCATTTTCCCAGAAAAAAAAAGCGCTGGAAGCCTATGCTCTTCATTTTTAATGCTCGTTAAACAACACTAGATAGTAAAAATTTCCGCAGTCCTACAACATTGATTCCCCCATTATGAAGTTTCGCGACGTGAGACCTAAACATTTGTTTTTATTAAAGGGGCCCAAAACACTTTTTCAAGTAACCATAGAATGGATTCACTAAAAGAGCTCATCGCCACACCAATTGAACACCACAGAAATTTTAAGAATCCATCCAGTACGAGCAGAGTTACAAATATTTGTCACACGCTGCAATCGCGTTCTCTCTTTTCTCGTCCCGGCGAAAGCACTGGAGGCTAAGCAGGTAGGGACGGCAGTGGCAACGAAAATGAGTGACGCGCACCTCGGGACCTTGAGTGCTTTTTTAGGGGCGAAGCTCCTTATACGCTATTATGCTATCTTGTGGTGCATACTTCGACGATTCTCGTACGCAAGAAGCAAGAAAAGACAGTACTGCTTACTTTGCTGGCAAGTGGCTGTCTTGTAATGCACGAAGAGCAGGGCGTTGGTGGGTTCGTTTTGTTTGCAAGACCGCAACAAGCTCGGTCACGCCAACAGCAAGCTCGGTCACCTCTTTCACGAAATACGGAGGCGAAGTACAGAGTAGGTTAAACTCCCGTTGGTTTCAACATTCAGTTACGTGCACTGCAGCATAACAAGTGAGTAGGGCTTGGCCGCCATTTTTCAAAATTCCTTGACTAGCGCTCCTATTGGTCCGCGGTGACCATTCGGCGGCAGACGCCGCAAAAATCGGTCCGAGAGCGATCGGCGCGGAAAGGGCCCTTTCGGCGGATCTCGCCGCCGCCGAACCGGATTCGGAGCACTTTCGGCGGCCGGAATGTTCAGTGTGAACGCGGCCTTATAGCGGCACCCGTTCGTCAGTCGTAGTCGCAGTCGTAGTGTGTAACCAGTCTTACGTTTTGACCTGCAAGGTGGTGCCGGTGGGAGATTTCTCCTGTGCGTTGTTGAACAATAAAAAATTCGTAGCGGGCGCGTTAACTAAAAGCCGAATTTTCCTGTATCTCATTCCCCATTAGCAGCCATTGGCATGTACATTGAGCACTATCTGACAAGAAAGGGTTGCTACGTTATACTCGCCGGGCGTAACCTCCTTGGTTTTAGAAAGGTTTAGCGAGCGTTGGGCCGCAGTGCCATGAATGCAGTGAACTAGTATATACCATGAACTCGAGGTGGTTAAAGGTGGGAAGTAGACACGAAGCGGAAGCCGTAAGAAAGTGTGCGTGTGCCACCTCTCGTTTAATCCTTGTAATGTCCGCTGGATGGCGGTGCACATGCGGAATATATGATGAAAAGATGCGAGATGGTGGTACTTGGAGTGTTTAATAGATGGACGAATGGACACACAGACAGATGCATGGACGGACTCACGGATGGCTGCACCGACGGATGGACGCATGGACGGACGCAGGAGCGGATGCATGGACGAACGCAGGGACGGACGCACAGATGGACGTGCGGACGCACGAACAGACGCACGCGCGGACCGGTGAATGGACGCATGGACGGTCATACAGACGAACGCATAGACGGACGGAAGCAAGAACGAATGGACGGACGGATGCTTCGCCCCACTCTCCATCATTCACTCCGTGGATATGCTGCCATTTTTTTTTCTTTCAAATACGCGGCTTTTTTGTGTGTGCGTGATCGCGCGCGCACATGAGGACAAGTCGCAGCCTCCCGCGGCGATTCCTGTAATTACTGGGAGCACCATGTTCTAATCAGCTAATGGCTGATATATGACCTACAACGCGCGGCTATTAAGCGTCTTCCGTCATTTATCGAGAGAAGAGAAAGCATTTCAGATGACTTTGATAATTTATTGTGAATTCCAGGCTGCGTGACGCGCTATATTATTTGGCTGGCTTGTTCTCGAGAGCCTCTACTACCGATTGGCAGTGTTTTCTGACCACGCTCAAAAAGTGTTGCGGGACCTTTTTAATTTTTGCCTACGCTGAGCTTAGGGTCTTGATATCCAGCAATGCATCAAGTTGGCCTCTTCTTTCTTTTTTTTTTGTCGCTACGCCTCCATGTTTGTCTTCTTATCGAATTATTACACTTGTACTTTTTCTTTTTATGCAGTCCCAATGTGACTTTTTGAAAAGAAACATTTCATGTTAAATATAAATCGCGGTGGTAAAGCTGTACATCGCAGTTTTGATGTCGACGTTCTTATCCAACCTTATTTCTTCGTCGAAATTTAACTTTGAGCCTCATGTTCTTTTTCTGCAACAGACCAATCTTTCAGCGACACCTAGGACATTACCTGGATTTAATTATGAATAAAATTTTATTTGATTCAGTAAATGGCTGTCTATACACAAGGCACCGGCCTTATCAGAGACTGAACAGCTTACTGCTGGGACAAAATTTGGAGAGCAAGTTTTTATTAACGTTTAGTCACCTAAAACTTCGTACACAATTTTTTTCATTGCACGTTTTCACCAGCATCCACACTTCAGCCAGAATGCTACAGCGCAGTAACGTTCGTTAACTCGGTGCCCCCTGTAAGTGTTGTTCATCGAGTGGAGTAATAAAAATCATTACTTATTGTAATCGGTGCATATCACTGCACACTTACCGTCTTCTGGCGTGAAGACGGTCTTGTCCGGGCTAGGTCCTTCTCTCAGATCGAAGGTGACGTTTCGCCTAAAGAGAGTTGTTGTTAGACTTTTGTTTCTATTGCTTTTCGTTTATCGCGAAAATTGTCATGGAGCTTTCAGCTCAAAAAACTTTTTCTTTTCACATTGTCGTTTAGTAGCTGATGGCTTGCACGCAATCACGTATGGGGGCCAAATGACAAATGAGAAGATTGTATGGCCGCAACATTCCTACGGAGACAGATTACCAGGCAAGCTGCATTCACTTTTCTGCTGTAGACATTTTTTTTTTTTTGAAAGCGCGAAGTAGGCGGTGACGTTCTTCCGAATTCTCCGCTTTTGCGCTGTCCTGCTTTCGCTGCTGTATTCGCGTTACGGCGCCCACACCGCTCTAGTTCGTTAGCTTTTCCTCTGGGGCATGAACCAACTGCGCCGTCTAGACGTCTTACCTTCTTCGTTTTCTAGCATTTCTCTACGTCATACTAACGCAGAGCCACCTCGGGAAGACCTAGGCAAACGCCGCCACGCGAGTGCGCTACGCCAGCTTACTTAAGTGCAGCGCACTTTATGGGACTTGGCTCTCGTCTCATGTCGTCCCTTTTAGTCATGATCACATTACCAAACTACGTCAAAACAGGCCGCTGCAGATCAGGTCCATTCAAAATTGCCGCAATTCTTTTTTCTGTTGATTAATTCAACAGCGAACGGAGTTTCGGAGAGTTTTCGCGCGTGTTAAGCGCTTTCTCTTTTCTTTCGTCCCCACGAGCATGCGAGAAGCTACATAACAGAAGATGATAAGGGGAAAAGACGCTAAGTTACGAGCGTTTCGTGACCTCGACTACGAGTCTCTCTGCCTTTCTCTATCCCTATGTCTCTCCCTGGATACACTCTACCCCACGGATCAATTGTGGTGCACTCTAGTGTTGCGCTACAGTGTAATTTAGGCCCTCGCGCCACAAAACATCAAACATCATCATGATACAGTGTAATTCCAGCCCACGCCCCGAACGTTGACGCACCTTGTAACAGGAGGCTCGTCTTATCTAAACGCCGTTCTCCAGCTATCAGACAATACAAGCAATCTGCTTCACGGTGACAAATCTGCCCTATGATGGCCCTCAGAAGAGAGGGAGAGTGAGTTTATGCATGAAAAGAGGGTGCTTAAGAAAATGTTAACTTCACACTTGGCTTGTGAGATTTCATCGGTGCGCACCACTGCAGGGCTTCCATGAGTGGTTCACAGCGACGTCTGCTTTCAGCTTTAAATGTTCTTTCACCAAGCAAGATGGTATGTTCAGGATCCAGTCATTATTTGCTTAACGCCACTAAACTATTATCTCGTGACACAACGTCCCACATTTGCCTTGCAGTAACAGCAATATCTACAAAAACTTTTCGTTTTCGCACTGTTTGTGTAGATTTAGATAATACATCGTATATATCGGATTCAAGTTTCTTCAATGCTTTATTTTTTATCAATCAAGATGGCTGCAAGGATCAAAGGCTTGCTAGCTTGACAAGGGTCCCCACCACCACATACACTTCAGACAGAGTTTGGCAAACTTTATAACATCCCACTGAAACACTAGGCACAACGGTAATAAAACAAACGCAAAAACAATCATTAAACTCAGTAGAGGCAATGTACGAATAAAAATATTTACATATATATTCATATTTGAGGTTTCACTCATAAGCATGCAGGTACAGAACGAAAGGTAGGGAGGTCAACCAGTCAAGGATAACCGGTTTGCTACTCTACGGGTGAGAAAGGGACGGGGAAGATTAAACGAAGGAGAGCAAGAATAAAAGAAGAACGCAGGGATAGCACACCACAAAGCACATAAACAACACGCGGTCAGTAAGAGTCCAATTATCTGGCGTGAAAGCGCGGCATCACTCTCCAGTAGGGTGAATTGTTAGACGAGTTGGTTCATCCTTACGGTAGCTTTTAGAGCGAATTAAAGACGAGAGACAGACCAGCGCAAACTATCAACTGATTTTATACAAAAGGCATACACATACATATATGTGAACAAAGTCACGGTCACGAGTCACATTAGAAGAAAAAAATGGCATATCCCACATACAGTGGGAATCGATGATATGCGAAGCACGAATGAGAAATCTTGAATGTCACTTTAAAATGAGCACAACGTTTCAAGGTGTAGGTAAAGTATGCCGTACATGACTTCCGTGTCATGATTGTCATGTTTGAATGGGTCGTTTACCTTCGTCATCTATTCACGTCACGTGATACCAAATTTAGTATATGTGGAGCAAGCGAAACGACCGTGAGCACGCTATGAGCATGGTATGTAGTCATGTTCTTACATGACACGTGAGCCAGCCAGGATTATCATGTTTGCACCAGTCATATACTTTCGTCATCCATTGACGTCACGTAACACCAAATTTGGTATATATGGAGTTAGCAAAATGGCCGCGAGCGCATCATGAAGGGCCCAATATACTCCAACGTAGCGTTGACGCGCGCGCACGCTGGGCTAGACAACGCTACTTTTGCAAAACGCGAGCACTCTGTAGTTTAACACCTGGTGCGACCAGCGCGACCAGCATCCGTCAGCGCGGCCCGACGCAAGTGGCACGAAATGCGACATGCTGCATTTCGCGCCGATGCGTTAAACAGACAACATGGCGTCTCCCTCTTTTCGTTATGGAGGGACGCTGGACACGCTGAAACGCGCATGAGTCAAAGCAACGCAGCGCGGCGCGCGCCTGCGAGTATATGGCAGGACCGGCGCCTGACGTGTCAACGCCGGCGTGACCCGACGAAATGAACGCCAGTGTGCACGCGCACCACGTCACGTCGAAATGTATTGGCGCTTTGACTGTGGCATGTAGTCATGTCCTCACATGCTACGCAACTCGTGATTATCATGTTTGCACCAGTCACATACCTCCGCCATCCATTCACGTCAGGTAATACCATATGTGTAAAGCTAGCGAAACGGCCGCGAGTGCACCATGAGTGGGGCATGTAGTCATGTTGTTACATTAAACGCATGTCGTGATTATCATGTTTGTAAGTGTCATTTACCTATGTCGTCCGTTCGTTTCGCGTAATACCGACTTCGATACACGTGAAGCTATTGAAACGGCCGCAAGTGGATCATGAGCCGGGCATATAGTCATGTTGTTACATGACACGCATCTCATATTTATCATGTTTGCACCAATATCATTCATTCACGTCCCGTAATACCAAGTTTGGTATAAGTGAAGCTAGCGAAACGCCCGCGAGCTCATCATTACCTTGTCATGTTGTTACATAATACGCATGTCATGATTACCGTGTTAGTGTCTGTCGCTTGTGTTCGCCATGCAATCATATCATACCATACCAGTTTTGCAACATGCCATGTGAACTAAAGCACCACAAGAGCTGCAGAACCATGGAATGTAAATCATTACATTCATGTTATCCATGTCGGCATTTTCATGTTATGACATGTCAGATATGTTTTTCACACAGTCATGTTATGCCATACCAAGATTGGTATCGATACTATTATCACAACGGCCAGGAGAGCTAGAGGTCGTAGGCAGATAGATAGATAGATAGATAGATAGATAGATAGATAGATAGATAGATAGATAGATAGATAGATAGATAGATAGATAGATAGATAGATAGATAGATAGATAGATAGATAGATAGATAGATAGATAGATAGATAGATAGATAGATAGATAGATAGATAGATAGATAGATAGATAGATAGATAGATAGATAGATAGATAGATACGCGCAAATTTGCTGAAGTTCACTAAGCATTTAAAGAATCATTCTATTAGTGGCAAATGCTCAAATAATCTAACTCAGTAGCATGTAATGTGGGAGAGGGTCACTCTCCCCACGTCTCGCGCGATCTGTCAATGAAATATGCTTCCTCAATTTCTTGTTCCCCTTTGCCCTTTCAATCTTGAGAGCACCTTAGTTTCTGAATGTATGGGTGCGCACCCTTACTTCCTGCAATGTAAAGAAAGATTAGAACACGGTGTCCCTCCCAATGAAGACTTATGATCTAATAATCTATTGTTCAAACACCAATTCATCTGCCCTACGTAGCATTTTTCACAAGATAATGGTGTATCATAAACCGTCTTTTTTGCCACACTCGACCAATTGATCCCGCTGCTTGATGTCACACACGTCCTCCAGCTCGCTTTGTCCTGATACCATCTTACCCACAGCCTCATAAATCATCATCATCATCATCATCAGCCTGACTACGTCCACTGCAGGACAAAGGCCTCTCCCATGTTCCGCCAGTTGACCCGGTCCTGTGCTTGCTGCTGCCAATTTATACCCGCAAACTTCTTAATCTCATCTGCCCACCTAACCTTCTGTCTCCCCCAAACCCGCTTCCCTTCTCTGGGAATCCAGTCAGTTACCCTTATTGACCAGCGGTTATCCTGTCGACGCGCTACATGCCCTGCCCATGTCCATTTCTTCTTCTTGATTTCAGCTATGACATCCTTAACCCCAGTTTGTTCCCTAATCCACTCTGCTCTCTTCTTGTCTCTTAAGGTTACACCTACCATTTTTCTTTCCATTGCTCGCTGCGTCGCCCTCAATTTAAGCTGAACCCTCTTTGTAAGTCTCCAGGTTTCTGCTCCTTAGCTAAGTACTGGCAAGATACAGCTGTTATATACCTTCCTCTTGAGGGACAGTGGCAATCTACCTGTCATAATTTGAGAGTGCTTGCCAATGTGCTCCACCCCATTCTTATTCTTCTAGTTACTTCGATCTCGTGGTTCGGCTCTGTGGTTATTACCTGCCCTAAGTAGACATAGTCTTTTACAACTTCAAGTGCACTATTACCTATCTCGAAGCGCTGTTCCTTTCCGAAGTTGTTGTACATTACTTTCGTTTTCTGCAGATTAATTTTAAGACACACCTTTCTGCTCTCCTTGTGTAACTCCGTAATCATGAGTTGCAATTCGTCCCCTGAGTTACGCAGCAATGCAATGTCATCGGCGAAGCGCAGGTTGCTAAGGTATTCTCCATTAACTCTTATCCCTAACTGTTCCCATTCTAGGCTTCTGAAAACCTCCTGTAAGCACGCGGTAAATAGCATTGGGGAGATTGTGTCCCCCTGCCTTACACCCTTCTTGATTGGTATTCTGTTGCTTTCTTTATGAAGCACTATGGTAGCAGTTGATCCCCTGTAGATTTCTTCCAGAATGTTTATATATACTTCATCTACGCCCTGATTCCGCAGTGTCTGCATGATGGCTGATATTTCTACTGAATTAAACGCCTTCTCGTAATCTATGAAGGCTATGTAGAGTGGTTGGTTATACTCTGAAGATTTCTCTATTACCTGGTTGATAGTATGAATGTGGTCAATTGTTGAGTAGCCTGTTCGAAATCCTGCTTGTCCCTTTGGTTGATTGAATTCTAGTGTTTTCTTTACTCTGTTAGCAATTACCTTTGTGAATAGCTTGTATACTACAGAGAGCAAGCTGATCGGCCTGTAATTCTTCAAGTCCTTGTCATAAATATGGCGAAGCTTGTCTGCAGCAGAAAAAAACACACTATATCTAAACCTCTCACCAACTTTTTTAACTTATGGGATACTTTTGTCAGAATACTGAATGCTTACAAGACGTGCCCCTTCGTTCCAACTTCATCTTTTGCAAGATCTCTTCGTTTAAGATCCCTGATTGGCGTTCTGGGAACCAAGACTACCGGAGCCTCTCAATTTACCATGCTAAACTCTCATGCATGATGTGGGCATGAATTTTCGAGTGACGCTTCTAGACAGGTCATCACAACCCCGTATTTTTTTACTATTTTAGAAATGCCCGAACGGAATGTGATGATAGGTTTGTTAATACGGGGCGGTACATGCAACATACGTGGCTTCCATCAAAAAATATGTTCAGATCTAAAAACTGTATGTAACCATTGTCGGGAACCTCACAGGCATACTTCAGCCCCGACTCCAACTCTTTGAAAACCTTCAAAACATTGACCCTAGTGCTCACACACCGACAGTCTTCAACAAAAAACGTGTAATCGACCACGTATTTCACCATCACTGAGTCCAACGCAGTCTTTAGGCCACGGTCAACCACACTCAGAAAGATTTCACTCAAAACTGGCATGACTTTCAACCCACTGCAGATTCCCGAGCTCTTAGTGTAAAAGCGCCTCTTAAAACCAATAGCAGTTGAGTACACCAACAGGAGCACAAGAAAATTCGTAGATTCACCGCACCTGTCTTGAAACCTTTGTTCATCATCAGCTTCTTGAATGCAATTTCTGAAGCCCACCAGAAGTTTGTCATGTGGAAACGCATAAAAGAAGTCTTCCACATCCACACTGAACCCTGACAGTACTTTGGTGGATCCTTTCATCAGAAACCATGCCACTTCCTTTGAATTCTTCACTAGGAAAGAGTCCACCACCTAAATCCCGACTGTTTAAAAGCTGCTGGGAAATGTTCCGGTAGGGAAACAATTGAGTCATACAAGCTAACACAAGGACTCGATTAGAGCTCACCTTTCATGACCGTTGACCCCTGGCAGAAGCCACGTGTAAGTGGCCTTATGGCCTTCTTCGTCAAAGTTTGACCTCACCGTCGTTAGGCAGTCGAGGTCTCCGTCATTGTCCGTGTCGAACATGGCCACAGCAACAGGGAAATTCCTGAACATCTGCAACGCGCCTCTATAAATTATAGTGTACACTAATGTCTTGCCGAATATGAAATCATTCAAACTCGAGTTCTCAGAATCAGGCGTCTCCGGAAAAACTAGAAAATCATTTCTATGCCAAATATATGTGGGGGATTTGGAAAGAGAGCACATTATGTTCACGCCTCAGGTATATATATATATATATATATATATATATATATATATATATATATATATATATATATATATAACAAGTGTATACTTAAGGGCTCGTTTTTTGTGTACACAATATTAATGAGATCTAACAGACAATAATGCCAAGGAAAGTATAGGGGAAGTTATTAGGCCAATTGTAATGTAAATGATAAGAAAGAAAAGTGGGTGAAAAGAACTCGCCGTGGGCAGGATCCCAACCTGCGACCTTCTAATAACGCGTTGGATGCTCTACCACTGAGCTACCTCGACAGCCATCCCCCCAGCCACTTTATTGGGTATCTATGTCAATTTAAACGTGGGAGTGTCAGTCAGCGCCACTAGTAGCCATGGCGGCCAATCTGGCACACTCTTTATAAGCCTGTTAGGCATCACGTAGCACGTGAACTTATTACTAACTGGCAGCTGACCAATAGTCCCTCGTATACAACCTAAAGGAACCAAGTCTGTCGGTATGATACCCTCGCTAATGAATAAGGGAAACAAGTGTATACTTAAGGGCTCGTTTTTCGTGTTTACACAATATTAATGAGATCTAACAGACAATAATGCCAAGGAAAGTATAGGGGAAGTTATTAGGCGAATTGTAATGTAAATGAGAAGAAAGAAAAGTCGGTGAAAAGATAACTCGCCATGGGCAGGATTCGAACCTGCGACCTTCTAATAAAGCGTTTGATGCTATACCACTGAGGTACCACGACCGCCATCCCCCCAGCCACTTTATTGGGTATCTATGTCAATTTAAACGTGGGAGTGTCAGTCAGCGCCACTAGTAGACATGGCGGCGAGTGTGGCACACTCTTTATAAGCCTGTTAGGCGTCACGTAGCACGTGAACTTTTTACTAACTGGCAGCTGACCAATAGTCCCTCGTATACAACCTAAAGGCACCAAGTCTGCTTCGGGCCACGCCGACGGACGCTGGTCGGGCCTGGTGTCAGACTATAGAGTGCTCGCGTTTTGCTAACGTAGCGTCGGTGTGGCCAGCGTGCCCGCGCGTTAACGCTATCTTGGAGCATATTGGGCCCTTCATAATGCGCTCGCGGCCGTCTTGCTAGCTCCGCATATACCAAATTTGGTCTTATGTGACGACAATGGATGATGAAGTATCCTGGTGCAAACATGATAATCCTGACATGCATGTCATGTAAGAACATGACAACATACTACGCTCATAGCGTGCTCACGGCTGTTTCGCAAGCTCCACATATACTAAATTTGGTATCACATGCCGTGAATAAATGACGAAGGTAAACGACACATCCAAACAAGATTATCATGACACAGAAGTCATGTACGGCATCATTTACGTCCAACTCGTAAGGTTGTGCTGGTTTAAAAGTGACATATCAACATTTCTCAATCATTTTCCGCATATCATCGATTCCCACTGTACGTGGGATCTGATATTTTCCATCTATCTATCTATCTATCTATCTATCTATCCATCTATCTATCTATCTATCTATCTATCTATCTATCTATCTATCTATCTATCTATCTATCTGTCTGTCTGTCTGTCTGTCTGTCTGTCTGTCTGTCTGTCTGTCTGTCTGTCTGTCAATCGATCAATCGATCTAGCCGCCTACGCCTGGGTGCTCCCGCCCCCCTTAATATTCGGTAAGCCAAAATTACTATGAGAGGGTAAGATGGTTTGAACAAAAATAACTCGCTGGTCATGACATGAATGATGTCACAATCCTGTCGCGTAGGTCGTCAAACCCTTTCGCACCAGACGTGGGGCACATACCCGTGGACAAGTACGTGCCACAAGTATGTGGGTTTGTGTAATAGGTAATTGACATTTATATTTACTCAGAAATGGCGAGAACAGACATTGGTAATATTAACGCGTGAGCGTCAAGCAAGAGCTTACATTGGTAGCGTTGACCCGACTAATTCAAAGAATATCATGGTTTCAGCAGGAATTAAACACCAGCCTTCTACGTGGCAATCATGTATTCCACCAAAGAGCCACGCCAAGCCTTTTAACTACTTTCAAATAGACCCTAAAGTACCTGAAACATCAATGATGGTTGCAGTGCTGGCTATTCAAGTTTACAAACATTACATATGTACTCATATGATACAGACGCCATGTCAGGTTAACGTTCATTGTAGTTAAGCACCCTTCGCTAAAGATAATTTATGTAGCGGTGTCAAGAGCTACCACCTTGTAAGTGTCAAGGGCACCGGCGCTTTATATCAGCTAACCACTTCGGGCGCTGCAAATGTCTATGATGCTTTTGGCATCGTTAGGCAACTGTAAACAACTGGTTATATGAAACATGCGACAACTGGTTATATGAAACATATGTGTCTGTGCGGTCATTTGTGCATATCTATAGAGCGCTACTTCGTAACGTACCGCTCAATAAAGAAATTACAACACAGTCACCTTCCATTCGCATGCTTAGCATTACATGGATTCACAGAGCACGTGCGATCTGCTGACACTTTTTTCCTCTTTTTGTAAACCTTTTTGAAGGGTATGAGCACCATTTGGACACAGAACACCAGTCAACCAAGGTGTAAATACCTTGAAGGCATCTGTGACGTTGTGCTGTAGACGATGCTTGGCTTCACCCTGTGCGAGGGGAGCGTCTAGCCACAGTACGACGCCGACGACCAAGAGGGAAGGAATGGCAGCCCGCATGTCTCCACTGAAAGCTCGTCGCCAACGTTCGCTTCTCGGTGAGCGAAGCTCGGCTTACGAGATAACGACAACAGCTTTTTGCAAGAAACGTTGTCCGTTTATATATCTCATAGTCAAATCCTATGATCAGAAAAACGGGATCGTCAGGTCGTATTCATTAGAATCAAGTGTTTGACGTTTGTGTCATTTCATCATTCACTACTGTCAAAAAACTACGAAAAAAGATTCTCTCTTATAGAGCAGCTCTAATCGCCCTTGGGAAGTTGTGCAAATAAATGGAACATGACAGCTTGGCAATTTGATACTACAGCTCACTTTGTGCTCTGACGCAGATAATTATGGTCTCCGAAATAGATTTTACAACAACTTCAAATGATTGGCGCGGTGTAGCATCCCTACATTACGACAAAATCTCCAATGACATCTCATCTCTTCATGTGAGTGACACAAACAACACACTCTAAGGCCTCTATTTTCTGTTGTTCTTTGGCAAGCTTGGTAGCGTTTCACTCCAATTGGGCGAAACCAATTGGACGCAACTATCCAATTTTCATTTCGCGCCAGCGACGAAAAAATAATCGCACCTGTGTACCCACAAAAAATCATTTCATTTTAACCTTTCCAATTTACTCTCAGGTTTGTCGCGGTATTGCGGTTTCACACAGAGGAACGTATATTACGGCCATCATCCCGCACATGCGCCTACTTTTTTTGATTTCGATAGCAATTATATGGACACTCTCGGCTGGATTTCGCTACCGGAGTCAGCGTCGATGTCATGCACCGTATATGTATGCGTATTTATATATATGAAAACGTTAGAAAGAAAAAATTAAGCAAAAACTTCCATATCCCACGTACAGTGGGAATCGATGATATGCGAAGCACGAACGAGAAATGTATGTCACTTTAAAATCAGTACAACGTTATGAGGTGGAGGTAAATGATGCCGTACAAGACTCCCGTGTCATGATTATCATGTTCGGGTGTGTCGTTCACTTTCGTCATCTATTCACTTCACGTGATACCAAATTTAGCCTACGTGGAGCTAGCGAAACGGCCGCGAGCACATATGAGCGGGGTATGTTGTGATCTTCTTACATGACACGCGTGTCAGGATTATCATGTTTCCACCAGTCATATACTTCGTCATCCATCTTCTTACATGACACGCGTGTAAGAAATATCATGTTTCCACCAGTCATATATTTAATCATCCATTGACGTCACGTAACACCAAATTTGGTATATGTGGAGCAAGAAAAACAGCCGTAGGTGCATCATTAAGGGCCCAATATACACTAATGTAGCGTTAACGTGCGCGCACGCCTGGCACAGCGACGGTATGTTAGCAAAACTCGAGCACTCTATAGTCTGACGCCAGGCGCGACCAGCGTCCGTCGGCGCGGCCCGCCTGCAACCGGCGCGAAATGCGATATGCTGCATTTCGCACCGATGCGTTACCCAAAATACTCCGTCTCCCTCTTTTCGTGACGGAGGAACACCGGACGCGCTGAAACGCCCACGCGTCAAAAGAACGCAGCGCGGCGCGTGCCTGCGGGTATATGGCAGGACCTGTGCCTGCGTGGCAACGCCGGCGTGACGTGACAAAATGAACAGCGGCAAACACGAGCACCGTGTCACGTCGAAATGTACTGGCTCTTTGACTGTGGCATGTAGTCATATTCTCACAAGACACGCCTCTCATGATTATCTTGTTTGCACCAGTCACAAACCTTCGTCATCCATTCACGTTTCGTAATACCAAATTTGGTATAAGTGAGGCTAGCGAAACTGCCGTGAGCGCATCATCAGTCTCCCATGTATTCATGTTGTTACATGACACGCATGTCGTGATTATCATGTTTGCACCAGTATCATACCTTCGTCATCTATTCACGTCCCGCAATACCAAATTTGACATATGTGAAGCTAGCGAAACGGCTGGGAGAGCATCGTGACGGGCCCAATATACTGCGACGTAACTTTGACGCGTGCAAACTGGACGCAGGGACACTACCCTAGCAAAACGCGAACACTTCATAGTACGAGATGACCGCCAGGGGCGCCGACTAGTGCGGACGTGTTGATTTCGGCTCCTGCTTTTTTCAATGTTTTGGTTGGTTTCTTTCGTCGAAACCGAGTACATTATGTGTTAAACGACGCAGTGCGTTGCGAGGACTTGACCAACACCGGCCTTTCTACGGTGGGTGACTTTTTCCCCTTTATGAGTGTGTGCAGCTCCGACCACGCCATGGCACAGCTAACCCTGACGCGGTAAGCCTAACCTCGGCGAGGCAGCGCAGGTAGGCCTAGGCCTAACCCTGCGACCGCGGGCGCCTTAGCCCAAGATGGAGATCGTGGAGGGAGAAGAAATCTCTCAGGACGAAGCAAGCAGCCCCGGCTGGATGATGGCATATGGCCGCAAGAACAGCAAGGGAATGAGAACGGCGATTACTACCCGCGAACGCACCCCCACGCGTGGCGAACGAAAGGGCGCTAGCGGCACCGCCGCCCCACGGAACGCATACCAACGCATTGTCGCCACCTCGAGGCTCCCTCAACTTCCGAGGGACACGTATCGCATCAACGTAAGACCGAGGGACGGTCTGAATGTGACCAAGGTCAGTCAAATGCGTTTCGAGCAAGCCCTGGCCATGGCGGAGGGCCTGGCTCCGGCCGAAATTGAAGAGGACACCATTTGTCCCAATGGCACTTAAAACATTTATGTGGGGTGTACTTCTCATGAGAAGAATGCGTGTGCGTACGTAAAGGCACAGCAAGTCCGACTGGGTGATTGCACGTACCGGGTCTCTCTGTACCCGGCTCCCCCCGATGACACGTGCAAAGGTGTCATAAGGGGTGTCGACGTGGATATCAGCGAGGCTCAGCTTCGAGCACGAATTGTGAACCACCGCAACACAGGAGCCATCGAGGTCAAAAGAATTAAGAACACCACAGCTGTGGTAGTATTGTTCAAGGGTATGAAGGTGCCCCAGTTTCGCTGCACACTATACAGGAGACACACAGAGGTCTGCTACGGCTGCGAAGGTTTGGGACACCGTGCTGACGTTTGTCCTAATCCAAACAGCAAGTGGTCCCGCACGTGCGGACAGAAATCACCAACGGAGAATCATCATTGCACTCCAAAGTGTTCGCTATGCGGAGGTCCACATCCCACAGCAGACAGAGCATGCAAAGACAGATTTCAAGTCCCCTACATCGTCAGAAGGAGACGACGCCAACGCCACCGGCGCTCCGAGAAGACGCAGATGGCCCTAGGAATGCAGTCCCGTGACTCCAGCGTCTCACCTAGCATCTCCGGCACACCCAGGAGAGGCCGCTCCATCACGACAGCTGCGCAGTGGCGCAAGAGCCGCTCGCGTTCCAGAGGGCGTTCGGCATTTAGAAGGAGAATCCAGGAGGAACTCACATGGGCGGATCGAGTCAAGGAGAAGACGACCAAGCCCAAAAAGGTAACGCGGTCGGCATCGCCGTAGCATGATGAAAAGAGTGAGATTGAACAGTTACGTCAGGAAATTGCTAGTCTCAAAGCAGAGCTACGCAAGCAGACAGCCACGCAGGCCATTTCCAGCAGAGTCGAGGGCGCGAACGTGGCGGATAACGACGTGCATAAAAGCGCGCAGGAACCCAAAGTCAAGGTCAACAAGGCCAAGCGTAAGGCTCCACCTCCAAAGGATGAGAGCGACTCGGAGATGCAAGTGGAAAGATCGCAGAACAAGATGCTAGAAGAGTTACTTAGGATTTTCAAAGAAAACCAGTTAAGCATTAATCAACTCGCGCTGCGCATGGGAGCACTTGAGAGTAAAGTAGGAGCCATAGAAAATAAGGTAGTCGCACTTGAGAATAAAGAGGCTAATAAGACCAGGCCAAAGGTTCGTACACAAGCTGCAGTTAATGATGATGCGGGGGTGACCCCACAGGGTCAATAAAGCTTAAACTAGCAAAATGGCAGGCACTCAAAATAATCTAGTAATTTGGCATTGGAATTGCGCTAGCTTTCAAAGGCGCAAGACCTCACTGCAACAGTACGTTACGGCTCAGGCAGAAAGGCCCCAGGTAATTTTGCTACAGGAAACACTGTGCGACACACCCACCTTCGCTGGTTACAAATCGGTGACGGCAAGGGGGGAGTCCAAGAGAGGTATAGCTACGCTGGTGGGCAAAAAGCTCGCATATGTTGTACATGACATTCAGCCAGGTCATGGCAGAATGGAGGCGCTTTTCACTGAGGTTATTCCTAACAGATGGCTTAAACAAAGCGTGTTCATTCTAAATGTTTACATCCCACCATCCGATCAGAGACAATCTTTCCACTCCCTGTTTACGAAGGCCGCTACACTCGCTAGGCAGTCACCGTTAGTAATCGCGGGAGAGTTCACCGCCCCACATAACGCATGGGGGTACATCAGGCAAACGGCTAAGGGCATAAATCTAGCGCGGGCAGTCGATGACCTAACTAACGCTAACAGTCATCACCGATCCCCGGTTTCCCACGAGACTGGGCACGTCGGTGACTAGAGACACAACCCCCGATCTCGCGTTTATCAAAAAAAAATGCCGCCATATCCACGAAGTGAATGATGATGAGTGGGCGAAGCTCCGGAGGTAAACCTGGTAAACCATGAATCCTCCGTACATTTTGCCCACTCGATTTTATTGCAACGCTCCCGCTAGCGTACGTCGCCGCACTATATCGAACGATGACACGCGCCATATTTGGCATCATTCCTATTTTATAACACCTCGTATCTTTCATAATCAACTACACGTACCGCCGTCTAGTTTATAACATCTTGCATCTTTTGGACGGACGGACGGACGGACGGACGGACGGATGGACGGATGGGCGGATGAACGGATGGATGGATGGATGGACGGACGGACGGACGGACGGACGGATGGACGAATGGATGGACGGACGGACGGATGGATGGACGGACGGACGGACGGATGGACGGACGGACGGATGGACGGATGGATGGATGAACGGATGGACGGATGGATGGATGGACGGATGGACAGACGGACGGATGGACGGATGGATGGATGGATG